CTTTCACGTTGCTGTGCATGAGACTTGTTCGGAGAACATTCGAGAAAAAGCGGAGTCTTCCGCGTCCTGTTGTTGCTCTCGCAAACTGTGTTCATTTGTTGGGAAGATTGAGTTGGTTCCGGAATGCTGTCCACTTGGTGGAATGTAAATGAAATTGCCTGCCAGAAGGCCCGAAACGTGGTTGTGGTTGGCCGTATTTGGTTACCCTTCCTTGATCACTGGTTGCAACTGTCGACCGACCCCTTCAGCAGACCGTCTGCCACAGCGCCCACCGCCCAGTGCTCGCCAACTCCTTGTCGCTGCCAACAAGGTGAGCCTCGCCCACTGCTTTGGTGGTCGCAGCGCTTTTTTTTGCCGCCTTTGGGATGCTAATGGACGTCCCTATCAGTTATTCTTGATAGAATTTATACCTCGAGCGACGACGACGACCACGACCATTGGGCTATATCTCCTGCTTTCTATCTCTAGCAAGCCAGTGAGTGCTGCGCCATCTTTCCCCATCAAAGTCCGCTGCTTGGCCGTGCAACAGCGCCACGAGTTGGCGTTGTCACGCAGCATTGCTGAGGGTGCTACTTTGGGGTTGACCTGCTTGCTCACTGCCCTTTCAGACTGTTTGACATCCATTATGCAGACAATTAAATGTGTAGTAGTGGGCGATGGTGCCGTCGGAAAGGTGTGTAGTCGCAACGTTGTTGGAGATATCTCTAAAAATCGCCAGACGTGCCTGTTAATCTCGTACACAACCAACAAATTCCCGAGCGAGTATGTGCCCACCGTATGTGCTCCTCGTTATCTCCCTACTACAAGTCCGCCAACATTACTAGGTCTTTGACAACTATGCTGTAACGGTCATGATTGGCGAAGACCCCTATACACTAGGGTTGTTCGACACTGCCGGCCAGGAGGATTACGACCGTCTCCGACCTCTATCATACCCCCAGACCGACGTCTTCCTCGTCTGCTTCAGCGTCACCTCCCCCGCATCATTCGAAAACGTCAAGGAAAAATGGTTTCCCGAAGTCCACCACCACTGTCCCGGCGTTCCATGTCTCATCGTCGGTACCCAGATCGATTTACGCGACGACGCGCAGGTTATCGAGAAGCTCGCCAGGCAGAAGCAGCGTCCGGTCACCAACGAGCAGGGTGAGCGTCTCGCGCGCGAGCTCGGCGCCGTCAAGTATGTGGAATGTTCGGCATTAACACAAAAGGGTTTGAAGAACGTTTTTGATGAGGTGAGCCTTCCTCCGTTTGATTCCCGATTCCCCGTCTCACATCATCTAGGCCATCGTCGCAGCACTCGAGCCACCAGTCGTCAAGAACAAGAATCGTAAATGTGTGATTGTTTGAGTGCCCTTCTCCCCTTTACGACTTATACTTCCTTTTCATGACCTGCTCGTATCTCTTTCTTTTAAATAAAGCATGCATTTTTATATCCCTTTTTTCTACTTGCAGTAATCAACACGGGTGAGGGTAATCTAATGCGTTACATGGGAATACATAGACTGTTGCGTGTGTGCGTGGGTGTTCATGCCATCAAGGAACAATCACTATACAGATCCTTAGATAGCTAAAATCTTGTACACAACGTTATTCTACACCGCCTTACTACTTTGTTCAACAGAAAAATAACTCGTACGAGAACATAATATGGGCGCACTAATGCCGTTGCACGAGATGCCCGCGATTCATTTTGTGTGGGAATAGCTTGACAGTCGAGCGCGAACAAGGGTGAACGTCAGGCCCGGAGGGCTCGTTTACTGCACAGCACCTTGTGTAGTATTTTTATTGGTCCGCTCGCCAAGTGTATCGTACGATAACAACTAGTGATATCGTTTCAAAACGCCGACAGCGTCAGCGCTAGCTCAATAAGAAGGAATACCGTGCGTTATGTTGTAGGTCAGCCCAGGGTTGGGTACGATTGGGAGGCCTCGAGGAAAACTCGCGGACATCAGGTCTGCCACCATCCTGACGCCAATAAGTTAAAGTTTAAACTTGTCTTCATTCCCGGGACCTTACCTGCCGAAAACAATCGCGCCATTGTCGTTCAGGTCTAAATAACTGTACATCAGCACCCCTCGAAGACACTGCTTACCACCAAGCAGACTCACGGGTGTTATCCGATGGGGAGAGGTTCAAACGATGCGCCGCCTCCTCGCCAATAGCCTCGCAATACGCTATCGACGCAGTGTTAGATGTTTAATGTATTTTTATTGCTATCTTAGAAAATGCGAGGAACGAGCATGGTCTAAGCGTCTCGATGTACTTAAGAAGCCAAAGGGAAAAAAGATTTACTCCCCACCTCGAATCTAGCGCAGACGTCGGAGCCGGTATGCCAGGCGCACACCGTGAAAGAGGTCAAGAGTCGGATGTCCAATACAAATTCACACAGAGGCGAAAACAAGACCAACGGTAAGCAGAGCAGATGGTGCGCTGCGACGCCGCCATTGGAAACTATGAGAGTAAGCAACCTACGGTCGAAGAAGATGAAAAGTCCGCGACGCGGTATCGGCGAGGCCATGTTACACAGGACCAAAAATATGCATTTCGTTCTCTACATCAAGGCAGCTCCAAGGGGTGAGCTACGAGGCTGCCACAGACATTGATGCTCAACGACTTAGAGGAACAGGGGTGAGATCGGAAGAGCAAAGACTGACTAGGCGGAGACAGCGAATCCACGTTCATGCGTGTCGTGACTGTCGGAGGAAAAAAGTCATGGAATGAAGAATCAGGCTAGAACAGGACAGCTAATCCACGCGTCCACAGAAAGTCATCATCGGGTATGAGGCACACCAAAGTTCACTGCGGACGAGTGAGTCTGATGGACAAGTTGAATAGAGGAAGAAAAAAGCATTAACTTGCTGTTACTGGTTATACAGTGGACATAGCTAGTGGGCTACGAGCCTGCACATAACCCTATGCGGACTGGGATGGCACCTGGATGAACTTGACATGTAAGCAGAAGAGAAACAAGAATTTTCGGGGCTAACATCGCCCGTGGCATTGGGCTAAGACAGTGCCTGTATGCCATACGCCCATGGGAGAGTTGAGCAAGGACACGCCTTACGGGAGGCAAGTCATCGTCGGGTATGAAGTTCGCTACAGGTATCAGTATGAGTGAATTGAATGGATACAGTAAAAACAGTACACCGCTGGACATAGGACAGAGCCGGTGGGCTACAAGCCTGTGTGTGAGCCTATTTGGACTGGGACATTATCTCGATGTAGGTGGAACAGATCGACGCGCTCGCTTGCTCGTTACAAGGGTAGGAATGCTGAATTGTCGTGAAGAATGAGTTTGCATCTGGATCAGATAATGATATGGGCGTAAATCATGGGTATCATGTTGGCTCAAAGTGTTTTCCGAACATGCTGGTTGAGAGGCGGCGTTGTACCGCGTCAAGTTAGGTAAGGTACATCAGGCTCCCACGCCTTCTAAACCTTAATTTCGCACTACGATGAGTGTGTGTATCTACCCGCCTTCTTGCTCTCTTCTGCGAATGTATCCCACACACGTCCAACTGGTGTCTGTCGTAACTTCGGTCCTTCGTCAATTTCTCTGCGACTTCGAATCGCGTGCTCTTGAATTCTAAAAATTTTCATGTCATTTGCCTCCCAACATGTGGTTTTCTGGAACTTGGCGCTCGGACTTTCTTGGGGGAAAGGCGCGTCTCATAGCGCCGGTCCGGGCAATGAACCGCTCTCCAGAACTCGTGATGGCCTCAACCGTGTCCGCGTTATAAGCTCAGGATCACGAATCCGGCGCTCGTGAACCCACTGCCTATAATGAAGCGCTGGATATCGATACTGTGCGCACTCACTTCAACGGTGAAAGGCGCATCCTTTGTGCTCATCGGAGACAGCACGACCGCGCTTTTGTGAGTGTGCTCCTATCGCGATATGCGTATCCCTAATCTCAAAAGCGGTGGCTGGGGCGACGGCTTTTGCGGAAACGCCTCCATCGGCACGCCGTCGTCTCTCGCGCCCGGCACGGCATGCGTAAACGCAGGCAGAAGCGGGGCAACCACCGGCACGTACGTCGCAGACGGGTATTGGGCTGCTGCACGTATGTCACTGCATTCTTCCCCCCTCCCCCCCAATTCCCAACACTAACACGCTCCCCAGTTGAAGCGATCAAAGCGCAAGGCCAGCACACCTACGTGACGCTCCAATTCGGGCACAACGACCAGAAGATCGCGCCTCCCGAGTCGATGGGCGCGAACCTGACTGCCATAGTCCAAGAACTACGCGCATTGGGCGCGGAGCCGGTCCTCGTCACGAGTCTGACGCGCAGAATATTTTTGGACGATGGCACGATCGACGACCTGTTGAAAGACTGGGCAGATGAGACCGCTTTGATATCGCAACAACAGGGCACGCATCTGCTGGATCTGCACGCTGCGTCGATAGAGTATTGCGAGGCCATAGGAGAGGATGCGTCGCCCCTCTCACCATCGGATAACACGCGTGAGTCTGCTTGGTGTCTTCGAGGGGAGCTGATGTACAATTCAAATATACAGACCTGAACGATAATGGCGCGATTGTTTTCGGCAGGTAAGGTCTTTCTACGCCGGGAATGAAGACATGTTGAAACTTAAAGTTGTCGACGTCAGGATGGTGGCAGACCTGATGTCCGCGAGTTTTCCTCGAGGCCTCCCAATCGTACCTAACCCTGGGCTGACCTACAACATAACGCACGGTATTCCTTCTTATTGAGCTAGAGCTGACTCTGTCGGCGTTTTCGAAACGATCGTAGTACGAAATTAAGGTTTAGACGGCGTGGGAGCCTACCGTAGCTAAGTGACAGTCGGCGCCTCATTTGCTGATACAACGCCGCCTCTCAACCAGCATGTTCGGAAAACACTTTGAGCGAACATAATACCCATAATTTACGCTCATATCATTATCTGATGCTGAAGCAAACTCATTCTTCACGACAATTTAGCATCCTACCTTGCAACGGGAAGCGAGCGCATGAGCATCGATTGAACTTACCATGCATTGCATTAATGGGGTAGTGGTAACCTGGGTCGTTGCCAAACGAAGAACAGTTCTTTCTTCGACCCGCCGGGGGTTCGATTCCCCCTTAATGCATCGATCGGTCCAGAGTATTCACTTTTTTCAGTGGTGCTTTTAAAGATTTAAAATCAGATTTAAGTAGGGTGGTGCAGTAAATCTCCGGGGGTGTTACTAACGGTATTGATACCGACCACCCGGGGGCCCGAGTTTTAAAACCGTTACTAACGGTTCAATACCGGCACGTGCTTTGGACCACGTGATGTGGCGCAGCGGCGCGCCGCCCTGATCCCGCCTTTGTCCCGCCACTCTGTGCTTGTTCTCAGCGCCGGCATTCCATCACGTGGATAGTCACGTGCCGGTATCGAAACCTGCCCATCCCTCGACCAAGGTTTCAATACTGTATTGATACCGTTAATAACTGCAGTAAACCCGAGGTGTATCGAAACCAAGGGTTTACTGCACCACCCTAGATTTAAGTCTTTACTCGGGAAGCGCCGTCTGCACCGGCTGAGAACCTTGCTTGTGTGTACAAAGTCTTAAAATGAACTGAGTGAAGGTAGGTACTGGATACTGAGTGATCTGAGTCTCGCTAGTACTGTAATCGTGCTGGTCCGAGTTTTGCTAGCCACCCACTTCCAAATTATAGCCCAACCTGTTCGCTGTCTTGATGTATTTCCCCTTCCTTTGAACTTAGTGTGACAAAGCGACTGAAGATGAACTGGCAGTGGTTGAGGGATTCCATTGGAATTTTGAGCATGTCTTTAGGGACGCTAACCTTCCGCAGTTCCTAAGAGACATCATCAGTGTTATTCTGACAAAAACACGCGAATGACTTTCAGTAAATCATACATTCGAGCAGGAAAATAGAATGCACCGGATCCAACACCAGTCCAACACACGAGGAGAGCGCCGCGGGAATTCCTTTCGCCATCATGTTGGCCGGTACGGTATCATAAGCTGAATACTAGTTGAAAGAGTAAATCACTGTAGGTACACCTACGCGTTGGCATTGGTCGGAGGCAATCCAAGAAGATCAAGATGCAATCAGCGAAACAAAAAAAGTTAGTATACGGCGGTGAATACTTCAATCTCACCATTTCCAAAGACTCGTACTCTGGCTCGTCTAACGACGCCGCAAAGAGCGCGACTTATGTTGTTGTCCGACCTGGTTCATGGGTCAACATTTCCTGCAGTTCAACAATACCTACACCATCAAGGACGACGGAAGAATCGTCGTGCACCGCTCACAGATGCCTCCCAACGTTACGTACCTCTCTTTGTGAATGTCAACGACATCCCCAGTAACAGTACCTACCTAACCGTCCTCCTGCGCCTGGGTCATTTTGTATCCCATGAGAGAGAGTCCAGGGTACCGAGCAGGCGCTGCTGCGGCGCGAGGCCTGCGCAGTTCCGACTTGAGTGCGTTTGAGCCTCTACAACAGGACTACAACCAGTACCAGTCGTGGGACTCGAGCCAGGCGAGTCTGCAGGCGTCGTACAACTTAAGGACAACTAAGACCCGCGACAGAACGGAATGAGCTTGGACTATAAAACGCGACAGAGCGGATGAGTACGATCACACCACAGGGAGAAAGGTGAAGTAAGGATCGAACTGAAAATCTAAGGGAACTTTTGAGTCTTGTGGTTGAGGATGAAGTATTCACTGACCTTGAGTAAACATCGGCTACTCAGCGATCAGTTACCGAGACGCTGCGTCAGAAAGGTCTCCTTCAAAAGTGGCGCAGAACACGTGCTTTCAAACAGGGTAGAGCTGAACTTGGGGACGTTTGGCTCAGGATCTGGTTGATTGCTGCATCATAATGACGGCGATGATGCTCAAAGTAAAAACGGCGCCCTTCCCTGATGTTGGAATGAAAACTGTGTCCTCATTTGCATCGTCGTCGGTGCTGGAATTGATGTCCTCGCCGTCGTGGGTGTTCTAGGTTGCGTCGTTCTCCATTCAGTCGGCGTTCTCGTGCAACTCGACGCGTTGTTGCTAGAATCATTGTCCTCCATTTTGTTGGGATCATCACAATTCGCCTGCGCTGGCCGCAGCGTGCATGTCATCCGAATATATGTTGGAGTTGTTATACACGCGCTATCTGAAGTTCTTCGTCTGCGCTCTCGCGTGCAACAATTAATGTCGTCGCACTGTGGGTGACGTTAACGTTATTGTGGAAGGCGGCGGAAAAGACGACAGGACGATTTAGAGACACCGAAAGCGGGGGTTCATGACCAGTGAGATTTAGGGCATGGCATGATAGAGTCTTCGTATGGATGGGCTGAGGTACGAATATGGTGGTGAGAGTTGATTAGATACCGGAAATCCCGGTGTTTGTACTTGTGTACAAGGGACCAGCCGACGGGTGAATTTCCAGTTTCGAAGGACCTTGACAAGCAAGGTGAAGACTCCCCAACCTGTGGCGCATCTCTTCCGAATCCTTATCCCGATTCTTTTTGCATTCCAGAACCCTAACCGGTTATGTACCGGTTATACCTCGGCGTGTATGAAGGCGGATGTCCTTGCTCGGTGTGTTATATTTCTCTGTCTCTTTAACCACCTGATGATTCAGACCCATACTATGTATGCGGATGCCTGGTCTAGCGAGTATGCGTCCACTTAGGTCGAAGATATAGCGTTCATTTTTGACACTGAGCGCACTCTGCTTTCTCAATGGCAAGCTCCCCCTCGCAGTTGTTCTGATTTTCCTGGCGCAGCGACCACTCCGAGTCGAGCCGGCTTGGTTCAACCCACGGCGGCATCTCCTTCAACTTGATTGCGTTCTTTGATGGAACCATCTCTACTATGTTTGCACTGCGCACAGAGCAGTTTACATGGGCGAATGTTGGATGAGCTGTCAAGGTTTTACAATGCACATTGTTTTTCTGACTTGGCTCATGTGCACTTTATGAATTGGAGTGTTGAAAACACGGCGGACGCGTGGTCTACCGAGGACGCCCGCGCCTTTGAACGTGATCGATCCTTTTAAATTTTACCATTGCTCGTGAAAGGCGTGTCGTGGACGTGTGGATCAGCTGTAACGTTGTCTGCGGCTCCCATTGCTTTTTGACGATCGGGAGGCATTCAGGACTCGTCGGCCCGGTTCCCGTAGACATCTCCTTCCTGTCAATGGGACAACAGTCGCGTAGCTCAAGCCCTCAGCCCCTCAGGCGTCTGCTTTGAGTATGTAGTGTACACTTTTGGTCCGCGACTCGCCAGTTTCGAACTCTCCGACGTACTTCTTTGGACCACTTCACCTCTTTGTCTTCTTCCACGCCGCATGAACGTGGATTCGCTGTCTCCGCCTAGTCAGTCTTTGCCTTTCCGATCTCACTCCTGTTCCTCAAGTAATCCACTGTCATCAATGACTGTGGCAGTCTAGTAGCTCACCCCTTGCAGCTGCCTTAACTTGTCATAGCACGACATTTACGTTTTTGGATCTGTGTAACGTGGCCTCGCCGATACCGCGTCGCGGACGTTTGATCTTCTTCGACCGTAGGTTGCTTACTCTCATAGGTTCCAATGGCTGCGTCGCAGCGCACCATCTGCTTTTTTTCCCGTTGGTCTTGTTTTCGCCTCTGTGTTAATTTGTATTGGACGTGTCCTTACCCGAGTCTTGACCTCTTTCGCGGTGGGCGTCTGGCACACCGGCTCCGACGTCTGCGCTAGATGTTTCCTGATCTTTTTCCCCTTTGGCTTCTCAAGTACTTACATCGAGTCAACATCCCAGCCCGAATAGGCTTACATACAGGCCCGTAGCCCACCGGCTCTGTCATCTGTTCTGGATGTTGGTATTCGTTTTACTGTATCTTTTCAAGTTGATCAGACTCATTCATATCCTGATATGTGCAGCGAACAGCTACATCCTTCATATCTGATGATGAATTGCCTCTCGTGCTCAAGTGTCCTTGCTCAACTATCCCATGGGCTTCTGGCGTACTGGCGCCTGCGCCTGTATAACGACGTTCCATGGTCACTATGTTGTTTTTCCTTCTGCTTGTTAAGCTCATCGACTCAACGTCACACCCTGAGTACCACTCGTAAATGCAGGCTCGTAGCCCACTAGCTATGTCCTCTGTTGTAGATGTTCGATATGGAATTATGACTGACTATTTTTCTTTTTCATCACAGACCCACTCGTCCGCTTATACGTGCAGTGAACACTCCTGTGGCTCATACCTGATAATTACTTTCTGTGGATGCGTGGATTAGCTGTTCAGTGTTCTCCATGTGACGGCACAGGGTCAACTTTTTTCTTTCGTCGGCCCGTCTGACAACGCTTCCCGTCTTTGTCCGTGGGAAGCACTGGGAGGGCGCGTCCTGGCATGAGCGCAGATTCGCGGCTGTCTCCAACCGTTCCTACGGTGCTCACCTTCCAACTGCATTCAGTATCAAGCATGGCTACGATGATGCTTCCCACAACAGCTGCCTCGTAGCTTACTCCTTCAGGCATCCAGTGTATCTTCCAGATTGTTTTTCGTCCCGCTACTTTGCGTTGGAGGTGTTCTTGCTCAACTCTTTTACTCCGGCGTCTCTGCCATTTGCCATGGGCGTCTGACATACCGGCTCTCTGCACCTAATGTTCACGGTTGGAGCGCGTTATTTTTTTCTTCTCCTTCTTCTCATCTCACATAAGCTTGGCTTTGCAGCCCGAGCACACCTACGTCAAGTTGTCCTCTCTTCAATTTCTATTCAGACTGATGGGCGACTGTTTTTTCAGGATCATCAGACCCACTTGATACAACGTGTCGCGCACAGCTACATCCTTCATAAGCACCTTCGGACGATGAGTTGCCTCCACGTGTTGTGTCTCTCCCATGGGCGGATGGCGCACCGGCTTCGTCGTCGCCCAATAGGTGGGACGTGACACTGTTTTCTCTTTTAGTATATGTCAAGTTCATCGACCCAAGATCCCAACGCGAATACGCTTACTATACAGGCTCAGGTACGTCCTCTGTTGTGATCCATAACTGTTTTCTTTGACTTTTTTTCAAGAACACTCGTCCCCTTATGCCTGGAATTTCTTTTGATGGCGACTTGCCTCTTGTTCTTGATCGTCTCTCCCGCGGGCGTT